AAATCCTGCAATCTGTAAAAATCAGATAAACAAAATCTGAAGGTAGTTTCCTGTAGAGTAGAATGTCGAGATCCTCGGGTAAAGTTTTCAGCTCGAAAAACGAAGCAGAACCTGTGAAAAATCAAGATGTTGACAACCCCTACTCGAGATATCTCGAAAACAGAATCTGCGTAACACAAAATCTGAAGTATACCCCTTGATCGCTTTGCAAAGACGATTCTAAGGGTGTAACTTTTACAACTTTTGAACAAGAAACAAGATTACAGAGTGAAAAATCGACAGTAAGAACAACGTAAAGAAAAACAGAGTATTCTGCAGGCGTTCTTCTGATCGGTTCTCGATCGGCTCTGATACCAATTGTTAGTCCCTGTTTCTGTAACAGCAATGAATAACGATCTAACAAGAAAGATTAAACGTAAGGATGCACACAGAATGAATCAACGTAAAACCTTCTTTGATAGACCGTGAACTCGTACAACACAAAAGTATGCGCGTAAGGCTATGAAGAATAAGTACGACGTTAACCTATTCCTAAACCCTCGTCTCCCTTTTTATAGGCGAGGTTTAGGTTAGGCGTACAAGGCTTTTAGCCTGTTTATATGGGCCTAACACTTGGCCTGATTGCTATCTAATTCATGTACTAATTAAATACAAGGATTAAATATAAAGCTAATCTATGATAAACTTGATTCACAATTAAATATCTCCAATAGTTATTGCTGCTCCGGTGGGACTTCTGGGCTGGGGTCTGGGTTCTGAGTGCGAGGGTTAGTTGGTTGTCGCCCTTTCGTCTTCCCTGGTTGTATCCTTGGTGGTGAGTGTGAGCAAGCCTTTGGGCTTTGTGGTGATTGAGGTTTGAGCCGGTCCGGTTTTCTAATAGTTTTATTTAAAAACATGTTTCTATTTTAAAAAAATGTTGGTAATAGTGATTTGTTTTGATTAAGTATGATTTGATTCGAAACTGAAAGGCCAATGTAACTTAAAACATTTGATTCTAAACATTGCTTATTAACTTTAACGGCAGAATTTCACTTTGTTGCCAAATGTGACAAGTCAAAAGCATTTTTAGGGCAGTTCGTATATCGTTGGATAATCCTGCCGTGAGCATCATGCTCCACTTAAAACGATATAGTTTTACACATTTTTTAAAAAAATCTCGTGAATAGTACACATCTGAACAGTACACGTCTGAACAGTACATGTGTGTACAGTAGCTGTTTTTTTTTCTTTTTGTCCCGGTAGCATGAATGATGTAACTCGCGTGTAAAGAAATGTAACTCACTTTGATAAAAAATGTAAATGTAGGTAAGTCCAAAATGTAACTTGTCTAATACCAGTTATAAGAAATAAAACATTGATTTCAATCAAAATAAGGAATCTAATTGCTCAATTACTTTACATAAATAGTGAATATGTTTTGTTTTTAATATTATGACCATAAATAATGTTTTTTTCTTCTTAAAATCATTTGTTTTGCCAAAAAATCATTTTTTCCCACAAAGAAAACATTTGTTTTGAAAAAAAAAAGATTTTTTTGTTTCAATAGCAAGAGATCACTTAAATAGTGAATTTGTTCTTGATGGATAGTCTACCCGGGGGTATGTGTATCCGAGGGGTTATTGCGGGAAGTAACTAGAGAGAAGTCAGAGCATAAATAAGAGAGAGAGTGTATATTGCTGAGAAAGCAGTGAGCGTATTTCGCTTGGGTTATAAATGGGGAAATGAGATGCTATTTATAGTAGTAATAAATGCCAGATAGGGACACGCGTCAAGCACCCATTGGCCGAGGGGTCACATCAACTGGTTGGCGCTGGCAATCGCATGTGGCTGCATTTAATGCGGCTGTTGGATGTGACGTCGTACTTGGTACGGTGATTCAGGCGCATGTGGAGTGTATATTATGTCGAGAAAGGTGCCCTCGACTATAGGTGATTAGTCGAGGACTCTGAGTACCGGGGACCTCCTTAGTGCCGAGGGCTCTAGGTGCCGAGGGCGACTGATTTTCGCCGTTTTCTCCCAGTAATTTTGTTCGCTTGAGTTGGCCATTCTGTGAGAATTTGGAGCCTTCGGCCAGGGGGCCGAAGGCACTCCCAGTGTGCCACTTGGGTTGTTCAGTACTTGGGGCGCTGTGCTTTGGGCCTGCCGTGCTCCGTGGGCCTATTGGGCATCCATTAGAGTAGTGAGAGTCTATGGGCCGGGGGTTCCTGGGCCATATACTCCATCAGTTCTGTTTTTTATATCAAGGCCATAAAAATATTTTTTTTTAAATTCACTTTTTTGCCTAACAAATCATTTTTTTTGCAAAAAAATAACATTTTTTGGCATAAAACTGATTTGGGAAAAGGGTCAAATAGGTCCTCGAACTTACATAAAAAGGTCAAATAAGTCCTTATATAGGAGGCTCTGTACGCCCATCGCCATTTGGGGCAGTTTCCGATATCTTTTTTTGATGAAATTTTTTGAGCATCTTATTAATTAAGTCTAGTTTACTCATACCAAATTTCAGCTAAAACTTCAACCTTGAAGGCATTCAAATTCATTCTTAAAGATAACTACGCTTTTAACTGCACAATTATCTTCAAGAATTAATTTGAATGCCTTCCAGATTGAATTTTTAGCTGAAATTTGGTATGAGTGAAGTAGACTCAATTAATAATATGGTCAAAAACATTCATCAAAAAAATTTACCGTATTTGAGTGAAGTAGGCTTTATGATGTTATGTAACTAATGTTATAGAAAATGTAACTTGCGTTGATGGAAAATCTAACTTAGGTGTATGCAAAATGTAACTTTATAAGGCAAGTCTAAATGTAACTCGCGTATAAGAAGATGTAACTCACGCATAAAAAGATGTAACTCGCGCAAAATTAAAGAAGATGTAAATCCATAGACTATCAAATGTAAAGAATGAAAACAAGGAGTCTAATTGCTCAAATTAATTTACGTAAATATTTAACATGTTTTGTTTTTAGTATTAAGGCTATAAAAATGTTTCAAAGAAAAATAACTTTTTTGCAAAAAAAACATTTTTTTGCATTTTTTTTGGGCAAAAAAAAATCATTTTTTTGGCAAAAAAAATCATTTTTTTGGCAAAAAAAATCATTTTTGTTTTCAAAAATTTGATTTTTATTTTGTTTAAATAGTTGGGGTTATTTTGTGATGTAATGTGTGTTATGAAAAAGTGTAACTCACGTTGATGGAAAATCTAACTTAGGTGTATGCAAAATGTAACTTGTTGAGGCAAGTCAAAATGTAACTCGCGCATAGTAAGATGTAACTAATGCACAAGAAGATGTAATTCGCACATAAGAAGATGTAACTTCATATACTATCAAATGTAAACAATAAAAATACGGAGTCTAATTGCTCAATTAATTGAAGTAATTAGTTAATATGTTTTGTTTTTAGTATTAAGGCCATAAAAAATATTTTAAATGAAAATAATACTCCAAAAAGTGTATGAAACAAGTGTATGAATATGAAAAATATTTTACAAAAAAAGTTTATAAATGTAAAAAATATTACACCAAAAAAAATTTGTAGTACTTATTTTATGTGGATTAGGAAAATTTTGTAATAAATTGGTAAAGAAAAAAGTAAATTTAATTGTAATTTAATTAATTAAAAATAAATACTAGAAAAATCAAGATTAGTTTTTAATATTTGAATAGAGAGAAGAAAATAATTGAAAGAAAACAAAAAAGAAAAATAAAGAGATAGTGCTCCAAAGAAATCTGGAGGGATTGAGCGTTGGGAAAGAAAGGAAACTAACGTACGTAGTGCTCCAGTGAAGGGAAAAACGATGTCGTATGTGATACTGATATAGTGATATACCATGTGTATGGTATATCGGTACCATACTACCACGGTATAATTTGCGTTTTTAAGATGAATGCAGCGAATAATTAGTATTTAACAAGGTGACAACTACAATACAATACTCATCCGTATCCATATAGCTATAAATGCTTAATAATAAATAATTTGTTTGTTGTTACCGGCCTGGAACGGAATAGCTATAAATGTTAACTATAATTTGATAAGACTTAAAAGTACTATTTGAATCGTTTGGTTTACAACATTAATTAATTTGTAGCTCCTTTTTTAGGTTTCTCCGTCCTCATAATTAAAATCGTTGGTTCTAATTTGCCCAACTAAGTGTATTATTATGTATAACGCACGCACCTACTCACTAGCTGTATATTTAATTTAACCAAATGATAGCTAATAGCCTAATACAATGACCATACACCGAAACTGAAGCAATTTCACGCAACTTATCATTTTTAACTTATAATAATAATTGAAAAGTCGCGTCAAAATTTAATGCCTCAAACTCCTTCGTGATAGATAAATTTTATTAGTATGTCAAACCCCATATCCGCCCTATATTATACTCCGTAATTAATAATGCATATAATGCTGACACGCACTACAAAAAAATATGAGGTTGACATGGATTTTGACTGAGATTTTGGTTGGGATATGGCAAATCCGTGCTAAAAATAATTTGACACGAGCTATTTGGCACGAAAATTTGGTAAATCCGTGCCAAATTCCGTGTCAATCCCGTAATTTTTTTGTACTGACGGTGAAACAAAAACTTTACAATATGTAAATATTTTGGTGTTATGATTAATCATACATGTAAATTTGTTAAGATCACCATACCATAAAAATATAATGAGCACTTTTATTTTATTTAGTTGATAATATTTGTTCATGAGATTCATCCTAAAAGGTTAATATGAGAAGAGAAGTAGCGCGATCTTATATAATAGTTAAATCATTTTTTCATTTTCATAGATGCCTACACATTGACATGAATCAATTTTATTCCGATATCATATTAAAACTCTAAATTAGATTTAAAAAGATCAACCTAATACCAAGGTAGGGTAGTCGTAGGTCTTTTTTTTGGAAGAAATCAGCTTATATTGATAAGAGATAATTAAGAGTATGAGTCAAATGACAAAAAGAAATCTGACAACCGCTTTCCCGTGAACCAGACTCAGAATTAATCACCTCCAAAGAAACAATACAATTCGCTGATCCAAAAGTGGGAAACTTAAAGTCATAACCGGTCACCATATTCCTCTCATCCCCCACATCCAAAATCAACGTCTTACAAACAGGAATAAACATAAAAAACAAACAACAAAACAAACATAATGGTCTCTGAAACAGCAAACCAAACAAAACTTAATAAACTTCTGATGCAGCCAGAAGACACAAATCATGCCCACAACTTGCGGCCTCCCCTTTTCCGTTAGCGTCTTCGGTGGGCTTAAGGAGCAAAGCCCGCCTCTTCCCCATTTTTTGTTCCATCCAAGGCCATGACATCCTCTTCTTGTTCTTTCTCTGTTTGAATCACCCTGATCTTCCTTCTCTTCGAAACCTCTTCTTTAATTTGGACTCCTCCCCACCTCCTTTGGTGAAGCTTTGGGCTGATTCATTCGTTACATCTTTCACCTTTTCGTCTATTTTGTCCTCTAAATTTTGTGCCATTATATATCCACCCGATCTGCCAGAGCTCGATTAACCCTTCAAAAGCCATTTCTGACCTCATGTAGGACTTGTTTTCACCCCACTCCCTGCTCTGAGATGGATCACAAATCTTTTTTCTAAAACTAAGCCTTCTTCATAATTTAAGGGACAAAAATTATCTGAATGTCCAATAAAACCACAGATGAAGCAGAAGTTCGGCAGCCTCTCATATTTAAAGTCTACCCAAAAACTTTTGTCATCCTTTTTCAGATTTGTCCCTTTCTTCAAAGATTTATCCATCTTCATTAGGACCCTAACCCGCATATATGGCTCTAATTTATCACTCTTCTGAAAATCATCATACTTAACAAATTGCCCTATGAAATTTCCAACCCGTCTGACAGTACCCAAATTAACCAGACTATACGGAACATTATGAATCTGAACCCAAAATTCTGATTCGTTTAAAATAATTTCGTGTGGAATATCACGAGGCATGTCTTCTTTTAACATCACAAGACTGCGTTCAAATTGCCAGGGGGCTCCTTCAAGAACACGCATCAAATCAAAACGATGAAAAAAGTAAACATGTACCTTCTTTCTCCGATCTCCTTAAACGCCATATCCTTCCCTGGCCTCCACAGAGATAACATCATCTCTTTTAAATCCGGAAATTTAATCTTTCTATCAGTTAAAACCTGGTCGATCACCAGGAACTCTTTAGGACCTGTCTTCGCCGGAACTTCCTCAGCATAAAGTTCATCAAGATCAAGCTCTTCTAAATCAGTCCCGATTGAAATCTGCCTGTAGCAATCAACAAAAGCTTCCATGTGCTCCTCCACCACCGCACTGCTGCTGCTGTAAACACCGACCCTCGATCACGGCTCCCCAAAGAGACGTTGTCTAAATACTCCAACCACCGACCTTTACCCCCAATGAAACGACCTGTTGCCGCCTCTACCCACCAATACATCCAAATCCCTCACCTCTCCCTCCAACCAATCTCACTCGCCCCTCGGAAAACGAGGGCGGACAACCCTAGAAGCCGCTTGAGGCAGCCCTAGAGAGAAGCTCCGAAAAAATGCTTTCTTTTTACTTTTACTCCTAGTCGTAGGTCTTATATAATAATTTTACTCGTATTAATTTATTAATTCATACTCAATATTTTATGTGTGTAAGAATACTTTTATTTAACCTAAAGCATAAATGCATAATACAAGGAACCTTGGTGTAGTTTTAAAATTACACGGGCTAACGTATATTAGAGAGAAGATTTAGTGTATCAAATTCATTAAAAATGGCAGAGGCTTACTGCAAGAAATGGGCCACACTTAACTTTAAGAGAGTTTGGTACATTCGTTTCTCTATTCTTTAACCACATAATAAATGGATGCTCAACCAAATAAATGAAGAATCATATCTCTAAGGAACAAGGATACTGAATTGTAAAAGAAGGGGTATGGATTCACGGTCGGTAACACTGAAATTGATTGAATCTGTTGATATTTATAAAAAGTTGGCTGAAGTGAGTGAGATGGCCATGGCTGAATATGCTAAATTATTGAGAAATTATATATATTCGGAAAAGGGGGCAAATAAGACCACGTACTAACAAAAAAGGTCAAATAAGCCCTTATATAGGAGCCTCTGTCCGGCCATCGCTATTTGAGGTAGTTCCCGGTGGAATTTTTTAATGAAATTTTTTGAGAATCTTATTCATTAAGTATAGTTTTTTCATACCAAAATTTCAGCTAAAACTTCAATCGGGAAGACATTCAAATGAATTCTTGAAGATAACTGCGCAGTTAAAAGCGCATTTATCTTCAAGAATTTATTTTAATGCATTCCCAATTGAATTGTTATCTGAAATTTGGTATGAATAAACTAGACTTAATGAAATAATACGAAGTATAGATCTTACTTATTTTGATTCTTACGCAATTTAACACACGTACTCACAAACTATATACGGAGTATTCAATAAACTTGATAAGTTGAAAATGAGGTTAGGAAACCGACACTCATCATCTAAACAAATATGAGATCACTCGTTTAAAAAGTACTCCCTCAGTCCCAATTTGAATTATTTTTTGCTATTCGCTTGCTCAATATAAATCATTCTTAATCTTTTACTTAATATATCAAAAGTTTATGAAATTTGAATTATTTTTTGCAAGCTTTGTAGCAGTTTTAATTTAGTTTCTGAATATGTAAATTTCATTTTCTAAAACTAATTTGAGTGTTGGAAGCCATAAATTTGCTTTATTGTCATCAAACATCGTAAACCGTAAAATATCTTACGATTTGAGACGGAGGGACTACTACCTTATTATTTTAATTCAAACATACTCCGTATTAAAGTTCGAATGGAAAGATACACATAAAAAATTTGATTTTGATGTGCAAAAATTGGTAATGGTACATAACACACGTATTGCTTAATCAAGAAAAAATTAGAGTTAATTTGACCAAGTAAATAACACAGACAAGCTACTTATTTTAACTTCTTAAATTTTTAGGGCTTCTCTCTAGGGCTGTCTAAAGAATTTAGAAGTCCCGATTCCAAATAATGCAAAACTGAGTCTTTCGCATTAATATATAAAAATTTAAAAAATAATTCCGATCTAAATATTTATACTCAAATCATTTGAAAACTTATTAAATAATGCATTATAAAAACTACTAAAAATTACTTAATACTTGAATTTAGGGAAACTGTCCAAAATAGGAGTAAATAGGGTTTGAAATTCCAAAATAGAACTACTATTTTTTTCTTCCCGAAATAGGAGTTATTACTGTCATGTATGAAAAATACTGCCATAATTAAAAAATACTGTCATTAATTATAATTAATACTATCATGTTAAATGCGTTGTACTGCAACTATTTGACAGTCACCCCTACAAGATGACAGTAAATACAGCCATGTTAGTCCTATTTCGAGAATAGAAACATAATATTTCTATTTTGGAATTCCAAAATCCATTTACTCATATTTTGAGAAATCTCCCTTGACTTTATAGCAACATAATTCATTACTTATAATTTGAATAAAAAATGATTGAAAGGATCAGTTCCGATGAATATAATAAAAAACTGAGCATCTCCAGTATTCTTCCTTATTCAATGTAACTTACCGATTCTTATTACTCCGTTTTATATAATACATTTTTTTTAAAATAATTGAGGCACTTTTATTTGATGGGTCCTATTTTGTAAAAACGGTTTAATCTCTTCAAAAATACCTCTAGATTTTCTTCTCATACCTTCCCGTAACCTGTCCTTGCAGTGCTATCTTTTACTCCGTAATACCCCTGGTCCGTATTAAAGTTCTCACTTTCTGTTTTGAGATGTCCCTTATTTAAGTTCACACTTCCATTATAGGAAACAAAACAGTGCAAAACAGTGTCAAACAGTGTCCAAATAATGCCCAAACAATGCATTCCACAGTGAAGTCAAATTTATTTTCTTGATCTGTGTGAAGTCAAACTGGGAACTTGAATAGGGACCGTAGTGAGTATGAAGTAGTGCTTTTAGTTCCTAGTTACGTGCCTGGTTGAGTTTTATGGTCGGTGGTTGGCCATATTTGTGGAGCATATTTAGTTCAGCAACGTACTCTATCTGCACTGCAAAAATATTATGGGATTGACATGAATTTAACATGAATTAATCGATGATAGTTCTGTCAAAATATTCCACATAGCTCGCTTCCAAATATTTTGAGGCACGAAGTTCACATCTTTCAGCCAAATTCTGTATGAATTTTTGTGAATTTCTCTCAATCCCATGTTCTTTTGTAGTGTCTATCGATCTTAATAGTGGTAGACCATGTACTTAGGATACAAAAGTTGTGAAAGCTAAATATTTTGAGCCTATTTGTTTCTGATTGCTAAATCACATGGGCCCACTTTTCAATTGATGCTTAAGTAGGTGAGACTATGGGCTAGAGTGATTTGTGAATTGTCACTACTTGCTCAAAGTTTTCTTCTTCTTTTTTTCGTTTTCAAATCCTACTACTTTGGTTTCGATTTAATTTGAACTATGGGCCATTTTTTTTACTGTTGTTTACATTTAATTTGGAAGAGGGGGTGAACTTTTTTGAGAGCTTTGAAAGCTACTAATAAAGGTAGGAGCATATATATATATATATATTATGGCCATTCACTCAATAGTGATGGGTTCTAATTATGGTCTCTTAATTAATTAGGTGCTTATCATATTCAAATACGGAGTATAAGACATTTAAAAAAAATAGAGAACACTGAAATTATTTTTTAAAAGAGAGTTTTATAATAGATAATTATCAAAATAGGACTAAAAGTCATTCACTTTTCATAAATAGGACCAAAAAATGAACTATGTTTGCATAGGACTAATTATGTGTACCTTGGACAATTATACCCTTATAGCTATTAAAATGTTTTAATTCCTAATAAAACAATAAAAAATAATAAAAATTCGTAAAAAATACTAAAAAATTAAGAAAAACATTTCAATATTAAAAATTCAATTAATTTTTTTTTCAAAAAATTAAAAAAATAAAAAAAAATTAAAAAAAATTAAAAACTCAAAAAAAAAAAATCGCCGCCGCCTCTGCCGCCTCAGAACCACCACCTGCAGTCACCCGGGAAAAAAATGCCAAGTTCATTACGAATGTCATATTTATGGCAGAAAAAATGAAAATGTTGGCATTCGAAAAGAGAAATATGCCACTTTTTTGGCATTTTCAGAAAAAAATGGCATTTTTCTGGGAAAATGGTATTTTTTTCATCGGCCGGAGGTGGTGGTGCTGGGAGGTAGTACAGGCGGTGGGAAAGGCATCCATATTTTTTAAATTTTTTTAACGGAGTTTTACTATTTTTATTAATTTTTTTAAAAATAAAATTATTTAAAAAAAAGTTTTTGAATTTTTTATTTTATAAAAATTTTATAATTTTTTTAATTATATTTCTACGAATTTTTGATTTAATTTCGAATTTATTATGAATTAAACATTTAATTATGGTTTTTGACTATTTTTAATTCATATTTAATGGAAGGGTAAGAATGGAATGCAAAAATAGGTATGTTTCCAATAGAACTCATATGGTCCTATTTTGGAATAAAAACATAGCAAGTCCTATTTTAGATTTTTATCATAGTTTTAGTCCTATTTGAATTAATTTCTATAGATAATATCGAACGTGTGTTCCCCCTAAATTTAACGATCATCCTATACTATCAGTCAAAGTCTCTCGAGTCAATTAATTGTTTTGATTGAATTTTATGATAACTCCAAGCTTAATGTCTATGAGTACCTAAATTGAAAGAGAAACGACGTATAGTAACGTTACCTTGAAGATGACGATGATGATGTATGGAATTTAGGGATCATTATTCCATTATATTGATTTGACATTTTGACGTATTCATGCATTATTTTGATTTATTAGTCTTGTTTGACCCTATTTAAACTACTCCAATAAATGTTCGTGTAAATAAGTCTTAGTTAAACAATACTTTGAGGAGAGGTTACGGGTTTTGCACACTGAAAATATTGTATACATTAAACGTAATCAACTTTGGTTAATGATATTTTTTAATATAAAAATGTTTGAATATGAAAAACATATCAAAATATTCGTCATTCAAAATATTTTCATAGAAATATAAAATTTATAAATTATATACAAATATAATAATTAGAGTCATTGTTCAAAGTTTATCACTACAACATTTCAATCCCTGATGTATCACCCAAAAGTGTTACAATATCACTGAAAAGTGTTACATTAGAGAAAATGTAACACTTTTTTATCATTACATTTGCTCATGTTGCATTTGTCATATTGTAACACTTTGAAGTTCCTAATATAACATTTATACTTCTAGAAAGTTCTACACTATGTCTAAAAAGTGTTACATTAGAGATATATGTAACACTTTTATAGGTACGTTACATCTTTAATGTTACGTTAGGTTTAAAAATGTTGTAGTATCATTATTGAACAAGAAAAGTTAATATTTCGAATCTTTTCGAGATAGAGGTAGTATTTTAGAATTGATCTTCAAACAAGCTACTAATACATGGGAATATGTCATACTCAAGATTTCAACCGTCATAATTTTGAGTTTATTTGTAGAAACCTTTGAAAATTTACCTATCAGATTGAATCATAAACACAAATTTGATGTACTATTTTTTATGTACACCTTTGGGATGTTTTATCTGTCTACGCAAATAGAATTATTTATACATAGACAATTCATATTGAGATGCAAAAATTGCACATATACAGACAATTCTGCCTGTATAGACAAACAATGTGTGCCAAAGTGTACACAAAAAGGGTAGAACAAGCATTTTTTAAGGAGTAGTACTCCATACATCTTCCTAACGTACCATTCGATCGATGTTGGAGTCTCTCAGCGATGTAGTGTCTCATCATGTATATTTAGTTATAAGTAATATCTCGGGGTAATACTCTTCTCCATTTCCTTCTCTCCATTTACTCTCTCCATTTTTTTCACTCTATCTCTCTCCTTAAAAATAATAATTAAACATAATCTTTTCTTTTCTCCTACCCCACCATTTCCCCACCTCTCTCTATCTCTCTCCTACCGGACCATTCCGGTTAATGGAAAGGAGCAAAATCCAATATCTGGAACAGAGAAGCAGTACTATATGCGTAGCTCTAGAAGCTCCACCGCTAGGCTGGCCAAATGAGCTGTCCACGGACGCGTTGTTAAGCCCAGACACAACAACTAAGAAGTTGTACTGATTACTTTGGTTATTAATTGGAGTCAAAATTTATGCTACTATGTTCATATTGGTCGAAAATTAAATATTACAATTTGTATAATTTAAATATAATAATTGAACAAATATTGATTTAGATCAATGAAATGTACGATAAACACAATTTTTTTTCCTTTTTGTAGTGAGTACCTTAGCATTTACCTAATTCCAAATTGTAAAGCATAGTAATGCCCGGTAACATGAGAGAAAACTAAATAACAAATTAAGAGGTTATATCATTATGTTTTTTTAGAAGAAGAGGTTACATGTTAAGCAAGGTAAAACATATCAAATCAAATTTAAATAAAATAGACTAAATCAAGCTAACATGGTGATTAAACCCCTACTAGCTTAGATTAGACCAGATCAAACTTTAAAAAATCATATCACACCAAACTAGAAAAGTTGAGGTTCAATTAAAAACATCCTAAATTCTACGAGACAACAATTTTTTGATCGAGCCTATCACACATATCTTGTCTCGTTTAACATATGAGACTGTTATGTAAGTTCAGCTTGAAAGTTTAATTTATACGGAGTAACATTTAGGAAATCTTAGAGTAGTTATGGAGGACAACCAAGCATTCCAATCCAACTGATTGCGAGGTTATCGTGTCTAGCGAGAGGTCTCGAGTTCCAAATTGATAACAGAAAAGATAAAGAGAAATAAATAGTGCAATGGCGATAAATGATTCAATAGGACAGGGATGCCTCAACTCTGGGGCCGGCATTCATTTCCATCGACCATTACTGAATGCGGTCGAGCTTCTCTTAGCTTCTTGAATTTCACCAGCATTAACATTAATTCATCTCCAACACCCACATGTTTGAAACCCAAATCTGAATTCATAGTATTTGACGAAAGTGGGGCCGGGTGGGATCTAAAGCCACATAAAATTGATCCATGCAATGAGGTGTTTGGAAAATGACGTTCCAACAAAAAAAATCCTCTTTTATCCTTTTCAATAAATAAAACGTCATTTGGTAAATAGTTTTTCAGCTCGTTTTTGGATGAAATTGATGAAATGGAAACACTGCATACGGGAGTTTAGAGTTAACGTTTTGAAATATGACGTTTTATGCTATTTTTATGACGAAACAGATAAATTACCATACATCTATTTTTTAACCGCTAAATGTCAAACATGCCCAATATTTGGATAGAACTTTTCCGGGTAAAATAGCTTTCCTTAACCAACCAACCCAATAATTTTAGCATCCTATTTAAATCCTCCGTATGAAATATTATACTCCTAGAAATTAATTAACTTGGTATATAAAACTAGATGAACCAATTGCTTCAAACCAAGAGTTTACAAAAATACAAAGTCAATCTCCATCAGGCCAGATTATCAGGATATATACACAAATGACTCGACCTCAGGCCTCATGATCACGTACTGAAGCCAAAGCCAAGAGTGTAGCCGTGTAGGCCTAAGCCTATGAGTTACTTACAAAAACCAAATCAACATTAAATGTAAACAAGGGAATTGAAAGTAATTTCAATTGAAATTGACTTCTAATCAAATAGTTGTTAAGTCTAATCATTAAAAATGATAATTAATTGTAAAAATTTACTCTTAAAAATGTTTCTACTTTAAATGAATATGCTCAAACGGTAAGTAAGTGTTGATGAAACTTTAGATGAATTAGATATACATGATGATTAAAATAATTGTACTTCCGTTAAGTAATGGATTGTGAATTCAAGTTGATATATATATATATATATATAGTCATTCTCCTGTCCAGCAGCTTTCTGTCCGAACGTCGTCCGAACACCGCCGTTCGGGACGGTTCCAGGTGTAATTTTTTGATGAATTTTTTTAAGCATGTTTCTCATCAAGTCTAGTTTATCCATACAAAATTTTAGGTTAAAATTCGATCGGGAAGGGAGTCAAATAATTCGTTAAAGCTAACTGCGTTTTTGTATATATAATTTTGCACAGTTAACTTCATCAAATTATTTGGCTGCCTTCCCGATCGAATTTAGAGCTGAAATTTGGTATGGATAAACTAGACTTGATGAGGAAGATGCTCAAAAAAATTTATCAAACAATTCCACCGGGAATCGTCCCAAACGGCGGTGTTCGGACGGCGTTCGGACGGCGTTCGGACCGGAGGCTGCTGGACCTCAGAATTTCTCTCTCTCTATAATATATATATATATATATATATATATATATATATATATATATATATATATATATATATATATATATATATATATATATATATATATATATATATATATATATATATATATATCATGATGGAAGGGACATAGCGTGAGATTGTAAATCTTGAATTGGCTGAAATAGCAAGAGGTATTCTTACCATTCTTGTTTTGATTTGTGGAGGTATTGGCCCCATGGGCCAAGGCAGCCCTCTCCTCTTGTGTTGGACCTGTTTCGTACCTCTGCCCTGGCCCATGTTGTTCTGCCGCTAGCCCTTCTTCTGGAACCCTCTTTTAGGGCTTCCCCTATGTGCCCGGGTACTTAAACTCCTCTACGCCTTTTGGTTGAGGCTGAGGTCTTCGGTTAGAGAGAGAGTGAGGTTAAGAGAGATTAAGAGAGAGAGACTTCCGTCTCTTCTCTATTCCGGTCCCTCTGTGGTATTCTCTCTGTGCCTCCCCTTTTCTGACCTTTGGCGTGCGTTGAGATGGCTGGGCTGGTCTGAGTGTTCTTGTCCCTTCCGGTGGTGCTTTGGTGTGTGTGCTGTATGAGCGTGGTCTGAGCTGGAGAGGTGAAAACCTGACAGTGGTATCAGAGCCGGAACTCCTGTCTTCCTCGCCTAACAGCCCGGGAGCTCCTCCGCCGCCATCCGCCGCAGATCTCTGTCTCAGTAGTAAGTCGAGAAGCCCATCCTCGGGTTCTCGCTCAGGTAAATTGGCGATAAACACCCTAGGTTGCCGGGTGCCTCCGGTTTTATGTGATTCTTTGGTGTTTTACTTGTTTCATCCCTTTTCCCCGCTTTGCTCTTGCTGCTGACCGTGTTGGTCTGGCTATCAGTTTGTAACTGATATTCCCCAGGTGCGTTCTCTTTACCTTCGTGTGTGAAGTGGTCTGCATGAGTGTTTTGTGTTTGCGGGATTGAGTTGTTTGATCTGGTATTCTGCTTTTCTGTCGCATTTACGTGTTTATCTCTACTTTACTGTTTTTTGTGCCTTCTTGATATCCTTGTGAACTGGGTTTTTTGCCTCTGTGACTCGGCACCTGAGGTTAGGACTGACAGGTTCCCTGCCAGTCACTCAAGTGGCCCTCGGATCTGTGTGGCCTGTCAGCCCGCAGCCGGGTACACTGGTGAACCCTAGCTCCTTGGTTCTCTGTCTCTTTGTTTGCTATCTTTCATTTACCTTGTCTTCTGCCACTGATTCTTCAGTGTTATCCTTTTTTGTGTTCCTTATCATGTCTGCCAATATGTATGGTATGTTACCTTTTAATGGAAAAACCGATTTTGACATTTGGAAACAAAAGATCAAATGTGTTTTAATCCAGCAAAAGGTTTTCAGAGCTGTAAGTGAACTTTATTTGGATTCTGATGATAGTGCTAAGATAGCTGAAATGAATGAAACTGCCTGCTCTACTATATATCTTAACCTATCTGACTATGTGCTTAGAAAGGTTGGTATTTTGGATTCTGCTAAAAAGTTGTGGGATAAGTTAGATGATCTTTATACTGATACTTCTCTGCCTGGTAAACTGTTTTTGCTTGAAAAATTCTTTCGGTTTAGGCTAGACCTAACCAAAGACATTGATGAAAACTTGGATATTTTTAATAAGTTGATCCAGAACATTAAACAATCTGGTGATAAACATATTGATGATTATACTGCTGTTGTGTTGCTTAATGCTATTCCTGATTCATATAATGATGTTAAATCTGCTATTAAATATGGTAGAGATGATGTCACTCTTGATATTGTTGTGAATGGTCTTAAGAGTAAGGAACTCGACCTTAAACATAATAGGAGTATCTCTAGTCAACCCAAGGATTCTGGTGAGGCTATGTTTGTGAGGGGTAGATCTAAGAGTAGGTCTAAGAATCAGAAACAGGATGCCCAAGCTAAAAATAGTAACCCGAATGGTAAGAAGAGGAATAAGTCTAGAAAGCGTGTGTGCTACAACTGTGGCAATTCTAGCCACTTTATAAAGGACTGTCCCCATCCTAAGAAACCTGAGCAGGCTAGTGTAGCTATAGAGAGAGATGACCTTGGTGAGGTTCTCATGGTGTGTGACCATGTTAATTCTGTTCGTAATACCTTGACTGAGCATGAATGGCTAATTGATTCTGGTTGTACCTATCATATGACTCCTTTTAGGGATTTGTTTTCTAAGTATGAGAATTGTGATATGGGTTATGTTTCCTTGGCTGATAATAAGAGATGCAATGTTTTGGGTGTTGGTGATATATGTCTCAAATTTTCTTGTGGCTCTGTGTTTACTCTTAAGAATGTGAGGCATGTCCCTGATTTGTGTCATAACTTACTATCTGTTGCTGCCTTGGAGGGTAGTGGTCTAGAGGGAAAGTGGGGGAATGGGAGTATGAAAATTTTGAAAAATTCTCTGGTGTTGTTTAAAGCTGAAAAGGTGAACAACCTTTATGTGTGTCATGCTAAACCTTATATTGACTCTGTGAATGCTGTGAATGTTGTGCATACTGATAAAACCTTGTTGTGGCATAATAGACTAGGGCATATGAGTAATAAAGGTTTAGGGATCATGCACAAACATGGTTACCTTGGTAAAGACTCTGTGAACTCTTTGACTTTCTGTGAATCATGTGTGCTTGGTAAACAACATAGAGTCCAGTTCCCTCTATCCTCTTACCCTAATATGACTAAGTGCTCCTATGTGCTTGAATATGTGCATGCTGATGTTTGGGGCCCTGCTAGTATTCCTACACATGGGGGGAAACGGTATTTCTTGTCCTTAATTGATGATTTCTCTAGGAAAGTGTGGGTTTATCTTCTAGAACATAAGTCTGATGTTTGTGAGAAGTTTAAAGCCTGGAAGTTACTTGTAGAAAATCACACTGGACAGAATGTTAAGACCCTTAGGACTGATAATGGCCTAGAGTTCTGTAACCAAGAGCTTGACCAACTGTGTGCCACTTCAGGCATTAGGAGACATAAGACTGTGCCCTACACACCCCAACAGAATGGGGTGGCTGAAAGGATGAATAGAACCCTTCTTGACAAGGTTAGGAGTATGTTGTCTACCTCAGGTTTACCTAAGAAGTTTTGGGGTGAAGCAGTCACTACTGCCACCTATCTGATTAATAGATCTCCCTCTGTTCCCATAGGGGGTCAATGCCCTGAAGTTAAGTTTACTGGTGGGCCTCTTGACCTAACAAACCTTAGGGTCTTTGGGTGTGCTGCCTATGTTCATCAGAAAACTGATAAGTTAGATCCTAGATCCAAAAAGTGTGTGTTCTTGGGTTATCCTGATGGGGTAAAGGGATATAGGTTGTGGGATAGAAGTGTGCCTGGTTTTAAGGTGGTTATAAGTAGGGATGTAATTTTTAATGAATTTGATTTCCCTTGCTTGCTTAAACCTGTTTCTGAGCATGAGCCTGAGAGGACACCTGTTGAGGTGGAGCCTCAGACTCCTTCTGTACCTATTATTCCTGTTGTTATGTATGACACTCCTCCTGTTGTTCCTGTCATCCCTTCTGATGTGCATGTTAATACTTCTTCTGATACTGCTACCTCCGGTGAGGTGGAGTTCAACACTCAAGATGACCATGTGCAAAATGATTCTCTGTCTGGTGATACTAATGTGTTTGATGATTCTGCTGAGAATGATAATGTTGATTTGCATGACTACCAACTTGTTAGGGATAGGGGTAGGAGAACCATTAAGAGAAAATCTGATACTTTGTCTGATTATGCTTTTACTGCGTGTGATATATCTGATTTTGCTTTTACTGTGTTTGAGACCCTAGACCTAAATGAACCTAAGACCTATAGTGAAGCTATAAGGTCCAGAGAGGCTCAGAAATGGCTTGAGGCCATGAAAAGTGAGATGGACTCTCTAAGAGTGAACCAGACTTGGACCCTTGTTCCTAGACCTAATGCCACCTCAGTGGTTGAGTGCAAATGGTTGTTTAAGGTCAAGGAAGAATCGGGTAATAACATTAGGTATAAGGCCAGGTTAGTTGCCAAGGGGTTTACTCAAAAAGAGGGGGTAGATTATGCAGAAATCTTTGCTCCTGTAGTTAAGTTTACTACTGTTAGAATCATGTTGGCATTGGTTGCTCACCATGACTGGGAGATGAAACAAATGGATGTCACCACTGCATTTCTGCATGGTGAATTGGATAAGAAAATTTACATGACTCAACCTGAGGGCTTTGTGGATCCCAAGAGGAGTGACCATGTCTGTCTGCTTAGGAAGGCCTTGTATGGCCTGAAGCAATCCCCTAGACAGTGGAATATTAGGTTTGACAAGTGTATGCAGTCTATGAAATTTGTGAAATCTGCCTGTGATCATTGTCTTTATTTCAAGAATACTAATTCTGTACCTGTGTTCTTGTTAATCTATGTGGATGACATGTTGATTATTAGCCCTTGTCTTAAATCTATTATGTATGTTCAAAAATGTCTTTGTGAGAACTTTGCGATGAAAGATCTTGGTGATGCCAAGAGGATACTTGGGATTAACATTATTAGGGACAGGAGCAAGCATACTCTTGTTCTAAATCAGATTTCGTATGTTGAGAAGGTTTTGAGTAAGTTTAATATGTCTTCTGCTGCACCTGTGCATGTTCCTCTTGCCTCTCATTTTGTGCTAAGTAAGAATCAGTCTCCTAAGACTGATTCTGAAATTGAGCTTATGAAGTCTGTTCCTTACTCCAATGCTATAGGTTCTGTGATGTATCTGATGGTTAGTTCTAGACCTGATATTGCCTATGCTGTGAGTTGTTTGAGTAGGTTTATGTCTAATCCTGGTATGCCTCATTGGAATGCTTTGAAATGGCTTTTGAGATACTTGAAATTTTCTGCTAATCATGGTTTGATTTTTACGAAGTGTACTGAAGGTGTGAAACTGAGTGGTTATGTTGACTATAACTATGCTAATGATAAAGACAATAGGAAATCTACCACTTCCTATGTGTTCACTTTGTGTGGGTCGTGTATTAGTTGGAAATCTCAGTTACAACCAATTATTGCCTTATCAACCACTGAAGCTGAGTATGTTGCAGCTACAGAAACTTTCAAGGAAGCCATTTGGTTAAGTCGTCTTGTTGCGGAAATAGGTTTTCTCAAACAGGATGTTACTGTGTTTTCTGATAGCCAGTCTGCTATCCAGCTTTGCAAAAACCCTGTTTTTCATGACAGGACCAAACACATTGATGTGAGGTTCCATTTTATTCGTGATGTTTTAGATGCAGGTAAAGTGAAGCTGTGCAAGATACCCTCAGAGTTCAACCCTGCAGATATGGGGACGAAGTGTCTATCTGCTGAAAAACTTTTGTCTTGTAAACGAATTTTAAATTTGGACTGCGGTTAACTCTGTTTGCAGGTTTTGGGTATGTTGGAGGGTAGATTCTTGAAAGCGTAGTGCTTGAGAGAATCTACTCTCACGGTTAGGGAGAGTACTTTGGGTACTTCTCCAATTTCCTTTTGGGAGTATTTTGTGTATCTCCAATTTGTTTGCCAGTTATGTCTTTAGGATATCACTGGTGACCCAGCGATGATGAACCACGTGCTCATGTTACTTTGTGATACCATGCACCACCAATGATGGCCAATAAGGTGGAGAGTGTGGAGGTATTGGCCCCATGGGCCAAGGCAGCCCTCTCCTCTTGTGTTGGGCCTGTTTCGTACCTCTGCCCTGGCCCATGTTGTTCTGCCGCTAGCCCTTCTTCTGGAACCCTCTTTTAGGGCTTCCCCTATGTGCCCGGGTACTTAAACTCCTCTACGCCTTTTGGTTGAGGCTGAGGTCTTCGGTTAGAGAGAGAGTGAGGTTAAGAGAGATTAAGAGAGAGAGACTTCCGTCTCTTCTCTATTCCGGTCCCTCTGTGGTATTCTGTCTGTGCCTCCCCTTTTCTGACCTTTGGCGTGCGTTGAGATGGCTGGGCTGGTCTGAGTGTTCTTGTCCCTTCCGGTGGTGCTTTGGTGTGTGTGCTGTATGAGCGTGGTCTGAGCTGGAGAGGTGAAAACCTGACATGATTATTGCAACTATGTCCACCTGTAGCACAGTAGGTCATATTCTAGATCCATGTAGGAGCGCAGATTATACCATGGTACCGGTACCAAAAACGATGCCATTTTCTTCTTTTTCAAATGCACAGGGAGCACTACAAATCTTTTCTCCCTTTTCCATCAATTCCTCCAGATTTCTTTCTTTTATTTTCTCTTCTTTATTTTCTTCAATTCCTTTTTTATCTCCATCAAAATATTAAATGTTAATTGTGATTTTAATTATTTTCATCTTTAATTAATTAAAATATAATTGAATTAACTTTTTTACTTTACCAATTTATTACAAAGTTTTATTAATCCAAAGTTTTACTAATATTTTATTTTATTAATCCACATAAAAAGTATATTTTATTAATCCACATAATAATTGAATCTATTTTTTTATTCTCTATCAATACATAACAAAAAATTTATAAATCTAAATAAATTAAGTATATTGCATTTATATTCGTACACTATTTTTGTTTATGTGATATTTACAATATTCATACTCTTACAATATTTTTTATATGGACACACTTTTACTATAATATATTTTTTTTATCACTTTTATATGTTTTGGAGGTTTTTAAGACATTGAGTTTGTTTATTTTGATTCTTGAAGTTACATTTGATAACATATCATGAAGTTATATCTTCTTCCACGTGAGTTACATTTTAATGTACGTGAGTTACATCTTAATATACGTGAGTTACATCTTAATGCATGCGAGTTACACCACGGAATAAACCCTGCTATATCATTTTTATAGCCCTAATATTAAAAATAAAACATATTCACTGTTTAAAAAAAGTAATTAAGCAATTAGGATCAGTTTTTCATTGTTTACATTGAAATCAACGTTTAGGATATATATTATTCTCAAACACACACACACACAAAATGCTCAATTTTCCAAAAAGTTACATTCTATATACACTTAAGTTATATTTATCATCAACGCGAGTTACATTTGTAATAACATGAGTTACATTAAAAACTCAACCCCTGCTATTGAAACAAAAAATGATTTTTTTTAAAAAATATTTTTATGGTCATGTTATTAAAATCAAAACATATTTTCGGTTTACCTAAAGCAATTGTGCAATTAGATTATCTTTTTTCATTGTTTACATTGAAATCAATATTGTATTTCTAATACTATGTATTTCACAAGTTACATTTCGAACGCACTTCAGTTACATCGATCAATAACGTAAGTTACATATTTTTACACACAGGTTACATCATTCATTATAATTTAATAATGGTTAATATAATAGTTCGATAACATGTTAAAATTACATAGGCAATATTGGTCTCATATGAAAGATCACGAAAAATAAAAAAATTTGATATAAATTTTATAAAAATCAAATCAAAAATAAAAAAATTATTACCATTTTCAAGAAAAAGAGAAATAAAAAGGCCCGGAATACCATGCGCACCGTGGGATACAAAGGCCGCATGGTATACAAACACTCATGTAGGAGTTGTTTAACTCCTCATATGATTGAGGCATTGATTTTCACAACATGCTAACTACAATAATCTTATCATGATTATGCTAAGGATGTTTCCTTTTGAACTGAAATTTGCTGGTTTGTTTTGGTCTGAACTGGTTTGATCTGGTCTGGTATGGTAAATGTCTTGTCTATGTGTATTTCATAACTACGGAAGACTTGTCTTGTCTGATCTGATCTGATCTGGTCTGGGACTGAAAAAAGTTCAAAAGAAAACATCCTAAAACGAGTGTTCACCAAATAGTTGAGGAAATGGAGTTCATGGATTCAATAGATGAACGTAATTACTTACTCTGTACTATATATGTCTGTTATTGTTTTACTTCTATGGAAATTCTGACACCATCCTTTGGATATAATTTTTCGCTAAATTAAAATTTTGAGAATACGATGAATAAGATATTAGTAATTTATCCTAACAATAAATTCAACAATATTAAATTATATTAAATTTGTGGAACCCACGTATGGGCAATGACCACCTAGTGTATTTCGGGGCAGCATATTATATTTATCTGAGACAAGATAATATTTTATGTTAGGGGAATTAGTTTATCTTGGACCAAGGATTTGCCCTTGAATTAAAATAGAAGGAATTGAAGATTGAGCAAATAAAGGAGGCAAGAGGCCAAAGCCCATTTTGCAGGCCTATTGATGGTTAAGAAGTCTAAAAAGTAAACCTAGATCTAAAAGCTTTTGTACTATTCAAAAAGTCTCTAAAAGCTTTTAGTTGTAAGTTTGACATGACAATTTTTAAGAAGTTTTCAAAAATTAAAAGATCTTTTTTGAGATGCTACAGGGAGTAGCATCTGGGAAAAGCCCGTGACTTTTAGTATTAATTAATCCTAACAGCTTGTATAGTTGTATACCAAACCGAACTAAATCAAACAATCAGTTTTTTACCAAACAGCTACCACCTTTTCTTTTTAAGATCTTTTCAGTCACTAAAAGCTAACATTTATTAAAAAGCTCACAAAAGTATCTTTTCAGCTAGTTTTGCCAAACATACCCCTACTCATTTTCGGCGCAACATCTATCTTATATACATGAGCTCCTCTTCTTATGTAAAACTCCATACTCGATCATTTTTCATTCGTTTAAAGTGCAAAAGTATCGTTGGATCAAAGCTCGAGCTCGTTGGAAGAGGAACCACACCAAAGAGGGGCTAGGGTTCACACCATATCTAGGTGAGATGATGGTTTTACACTCTTTAACTCTTGGGTCTTGTATACGATTACTACTAATGTATGAAAGGATGATTTTATGGTGTCAAAATGTGTCCTAGATACGTTTTATTGATCATAGAATGTATTGGTGTGGCTTCGTTGGGTTTCTGGTTATCTTCATAAGTTTGGGTATGACGGGAATGAGCCTCGTAAAACTTGCATCTGTCGTAAAACTTCCCAGACTCGTAAAAAATCTGGTCTTAGCAAACCAGTTGGCTGTAAGGTCGGTATCTCTCATCCTGTTTTTAATTCTAACCTGAGGTCTGCTTAAGAGTTTTAGATTTTCTAGAGACACATCTAAAGCCATGATAAGTCCGTATTTAGACATGAATTTGATGCGTGTTGGGATCAGGTTTGATGATTTTCCCTAGCTTTAAGGTGTTACAAGTCTCAATTTTAGCTCAAATTATGTTTACCGGGCGTTGGTTCGAGTTTTGTGTCATTTGGAGTCAAAATCAGGATTTTAGAGTTCGGCACTGGCACTTGAGGAGAAATAGGGATGAGTTGAAAAGCATTTGAGATTGATTTGAGAGCTATGGAGGTCAGCGGGAGGTTTACGATGAAGATTTGATGACAAAAGAGCTCTAGGATTGGCTTCGGGATCATAAGAAGATGAATGAAGCTTGAAAACGACGATCAGAATGACCTTCTGTCAATCATTCAAGAATATCTCTTTGTAGAAACAACTAATGGACATGATTCAAGTTGTATATGAAAGACAACTTCAAGGGCTACAAATCATATGAAGACACCATTACGCGAATAGGAGAGCAAGAAGGTGAAAACAGATGACGAAGTCAGATGATCTCTGCTGCAATTTCAGAATGACACCTTCTACCGTTTTAATCATATCTCTTGATTGAATGATTCAAATCACATTCGGCAAGTTGGTGTGGATAGAGGACTTCAATAGCTAAAACTTTCATGAAGGAAGTTTTGTCAAATTCGGACTAGAGAAAAGGTTGAAGAACACGGACGCACGACCGTACGTAAGAGCCAAAACCGTGGAGGAGCTATTGCCTGCTACGCACGATCGTGCGTAGCTAGGGACGCACGATTGTGCGTAGCCCCGAGTTACGCGCAGAAATTTCCCACATCGACCAAAATTGTGATTTTCCCTCTCTTTTCTGTAAATAAGGCCTCCCTAACCCTTTTTAGTGGTGACGAACATTACGGAGAGGCCTACGGACGAATTTAACACCGTTTTTACGCTATTTTCTTCCAAGACCCTGGGATTATTTGTAAGTTCATCTTTTTAATTAATGACAATTTATTCTATTCTTCCCAATTCTGTTGATTCTTCAATTATGAATTGTGAGTAGTTTAATTAGGGATTTGTGATTGATGAAGGGGTTAATCATGATTCATGGTTAGATTCTTTTCGATTTAATTGCATGAATGCCGTTTAATTTGTGTTTGAATAATTTAACTGATATCTTTTGTAACCTGGAACCGCGGCTAGAATTACAATTGCACATAGAATAAATTAAGAGAGATCTAGTTTATTCTAGGACACATTCACACACACTTAATCGTTGGCTAAGAGATTAGTAGCGATTAAGGGGTCGTAAGCTCGCTCGTTTTGGCAATAATTTAGAATCTTGTCGCATGAGAGATCTGCCTGGTCCCCTAAATTATTGTACTCTACGCCGCGAGAGCGGTAAGAACTTAGAATTGATTAGCTAGGCTCAATTAAATTAATTTCCTGTAATTAGGTCTGATCTGCCAGAAATCTGATTACCCCGGAGTCAATCTCTGCTCCCTTCGTCATTAATTAGAGAGAACCCAATCTTTTATTTTAATCGTTCATTCGCATTAGTTTAATTTTAATTCAACCAACCAATCTCGCACGACGCATTTATTTTATTTTATTCCTTTTTAATCGCTGAATTTAATTAATCTTTGATTCCCTTTTGTCCGTCCCTGTGGAGACGATACTCGTACTTTCACCGCTATTCTACAATCTTTTAAAGTGCGAGAAAACTAACATCAGTTTTTCGCGCCGTTGTTGGGGACAATGTCGGTTTTAAGGGTTAATTAATTTCAGCGAGATTTTTTTAGTTAGTTTTTCTTTTTGTTTTCTGTAGGATTTTTCTGTGCTAACCTTTTAGGTTTTTTTTTAAGAAACATGAGATGAACCCATTCAACGAAATTCCTGGAGGAATTCCTTACCCTCAAACCTCTATGGAATATTCACCATTTACGCAATACTCTCCTTACATTCCTCCTCCTCCTCCTCAATATTACACACCTCATCAAAAATACTCTCCTACACCACAAAATTATCAGTTCTCTTATTCATACCCTCCAACCACGCAACCTTGTCTGCCTAAGAATAATATTTGTCTCTTCTGTGGAGGATGCCACCATATATCTTTTTGCCCCGTTAAATCTCCATATGACCATCCTTACTGGACAACTGCATACCCCACTTTGTCCTCCCCACAACTTACAGACACAAATGTTTCAGCCAGTCCTACATCTTTGCCGAATAATGAGCCACATAATCAATTTAAGAAGACACTTTCAGAGATTCTGTCTGAGTACACAGAGATGATGAGGGAGAGCACTTCAGCCATAACGGAGAGCACTTCAGCCATAATGCAGAGCACTTCTGCCATGATAAAGGATATAAATACCATAAGGAGCCATCTGGTAGAAGACCAATCCGAGGAGACCAATAGGGATGATCACGTGAGTGAGTCAGACAATGATGGTGGGAATATGATGGATGATACACTTCCTGATGATGTTGAAGACTCGTCTATGTTTGAAGATGAAGAAGAAGATAATAGTGTCAAGTTGTTTTTCAAAGAATACATGAAAAAGTTTGTAACGACACAAGATGTAACGGATGAAGTCACAAATCACTGTGATTTCCATATAGAAACTCACCAGCCGTTTGATTTACCGTTAGTCTCAACACCTGAGGAGGGCAAGGAGAAGATCAGTCATGATGATGGTGCTATTGAGGTAGGTTTGGGTATTGAAGATGAGTTGGGAAAAGATAATCACGAGCTCCAAGAAAGTGATAGCAAGGTAGATGATCTCCGTGACGAAGAAGTCCCACTCCACATACAAGATTACTCCTCTTACGTTAGTCCAGGTTTGGATTTCTTTGATTCACTCCTTGAGGATGATATTCCTTTTTGTCTGGAAAGTGACAACATCATCCAAGAAGACATTCATGAGAACGGTATTACCGAGAGTTAAGATACTCACACGGGGAGTGATACAGAGTCCAAAGGAGATGCTGTGAATTTTCAATATATTTGTGAGGAAGAAAAATACTTTTCCATGCTGCAGTTCAAGTTTGATGTTGCTTCAGATCCTTGCTTCGAAATATCTTTTGAGCTTCCACTGATTCCTGGAGTAATCAAAGTTTTGACTCATGCCATATGTCCATTCAAGGAGGATGTGAGGTTGATCCTTCAGTTCTGTGCTGATACGGTTTTTGAAGACCATGTGATTCCTTCGTGGTTCCAAGAGTTTAAGGATCTGCGCCACCTAATGGCATTTGTTGAGAGGAAGCTGGAGACATTGATTATTAGTGCACCACTGCAGTCTTTGTTATTTGAGAGCTTATGAGGTATCGTCGGGCACACGACGTTAAAAATAGCGCTTCTCGGGAGGCAACCCGAGTTTACTTCTGCATTTGTTGTTGTTTTGTTTGTTTTTTGTGTTTTGTGTGTTTTGTTTTTGCAGCTCAGGGACTTGTTGTAGGGATTATGTGCCGTGGTTTACATTGACTAAGTTTAATTCTGCACCGACCAACGCTAATAGGGAAGTTTTCATGACTATTCTTTACGCTTGTTTTAATATGTTGACTTGAGTTAAATTAAGCACGCATGACCCTTTCCTTTTTACCCCTTGTGCATAATGCATTTTTGGTCATCGAGGGCGCTGCCAAAGTTTAAGTGTGGGGGAGTGAATTGGGCATTCGGGCAGTAGTCGTTACATGTGATTATTAGAGTTAGCAAGTGCATGTGTTAGTTGTATATTCATAGAAAAGTCAAGTCAAATTTTTTTTAAATTTTTCTTTGAACTGTGTCTTTGTGAGCTGACTAGCATTTTGACTATGCTTTTAGGATGTCCTTGAAGTGTTTAGGCTTAAATTGCTTGCACTATAATCTAATTGTTGAAAGGATGAAGGCATTAGTCACCCATTTAATTCATAATTTTTCCATCTCACCTGAAAAAGTCCTTTAGGAAAAGCCACTTTGAGCCTGACCATTTTGTTCCATACCCAATCAATTGAACTCCATAACCAAATGGTCTGTGTTCTTTACCCGTGAATATTTCTGACTTAGCCTTGGCATTTAGGGAACTAGGGGATTAATTTGTTAAGTTTAGGGAATTTGTGTAGGAGCCATTTTTGGCATTGCTCCTATGCCCCAAATGGGGTAAGAGCAGTCACTTTTTAGGATATTGATACTTTCGAGGATTGCATTGTAGGCATGGATTCACTTTGAAGTAATGAACTTTAATTGCTATTTTTTCCTTGGTGAGGCTGAGATTAGAATGAGGTAATGTCTATGAGAATCCAAAAGGTGAAAATTAATATAGCTAGACCTCTTACCTTGCGAAAAAGAGAATGGGAGCCCCGGTCAAAAAGCGTAAGTGTTCGCACAATAAGATGAGACTTGGGTATCTTTCGAAAGAAATGGCGTTCTCGTGCCAACATGACAAGGAAAACTGAACTTATTTGATGAACTTGGAGGCTTTAGAAAAATTAGTTTTAGTCCTCCGCGTACTTCAAGTATACGTCAAAGCATCAATGTGTCGAGACGGTTTAGCTTAGTTGTACACCATGTCTACTCTTTGCATAGGTTTAGATGATTCTTCCTAAATTGTGGCCTACTGAGTTCCTTGATCCTAAGAATAGCCCTGAAGTTTCTGAATGCATTGAGTCTTTGTTAGAATATTCCAACCTCTCAAAAGAAAGGGGCTGCTTATCACCATTCACCATTACCTTCACAAGTCCTTCTGATCAATAGCTAGTTTATTTGTGTATGCTGTCATTACTTTAAGGATGTTGTGAATAACTTTGTCAAATATTTTAGCTAGAGTACAAAGATGTAGTTTAGGGAAGAATTTTCTTGGTTTAGTTTGTCTGTTCTGTGAATACCCCTTTAACTACATGTGCATGCTAATTGTTTTGATTCCGTGTGACGATTATCGTAAGCCCCATTGTTCAGTTTGCTTGAGGACAAACAAAAGCTTAAGTGTGGGGGAATCTGATAAGTCCGTATTTAGACATGCATTTGATGCATGTTGGGATCAGGTTTGATGGTTTTCCCTAGATTTAAGGTGTTACAAGTCTCAATTTTAGCTCAAATTATGTTTACCGGGCGTTGGTTCGAGTTTTGTGTCATTTGGACTCAAAATCAGGATTTTAGAGTTCGGCGCTGGCACTTGAGGAGAAATCGGGATGAGTTGAAAAGCATTTGAGATTGTTTTGAGAGCTATGGAGGTCAGCGGGAGGTTTACGATGAAAAACTTCAAGGACTACAAATCATATGAACACACCATTAAGAGAATAGAAGACCAAGAAGGTGAAAACAGATGACGAAGTCAGATGATCTCTGCTGCGATTTCAGAATGACACCTTCCACCGTTTTGATCATATCTCTTAATTGGAAGATTCAATCACATTCGGCAAGTTGGGGTGGATAGAGGACTTCATTAGCTAAAACTTTCATGAAGGAAGTTTTGTCAAATTCGGACTAGAGAAAAGGCTGAAGAACACGGACGCACAACCGTGCCTCTGGGACGCACGACCGTGCGTCTGGGACGCACGATCGTGCGTAAGAGCCAAAACCGTGGAGGAGCTATTGCCTGCTACGCACGATCGTGCGTAGCCAGGGACGCACGATCGTGTGTAGCCCCGAGTTACGCACAGAAATTTCCCACATCGACCAGAATTGTGATTTTCCTCCTCTTTTCTATAATTAAGGCCTCCCTAACCCTTTTTAGTGGTGACGAACATTACGGAGAGGCCTACGGACGAATTT